TCTCTCTCTCTCTCTCTCTCTCTCTCTCTCTCTCTCTCTCTCTCTCTTTCTCTTTCTCTTCTCTCCCCCCCCTCAGTATAATCAATGGTTTCGCTCTGCCACTGAAAGCGGAGCATAAACAGTTTCTGGTCAAAGTGTTGATCCCCCTCCACACCGTCAGGAGTCTGTCCCTCTTCCACGCACAGGTACGACTTACTGCTTTCATTTCTTAATGCAGGTCTGTCTGTCTGATGGCTCCGGTATGGCTCAAGAAATATGTTTAAATATATCGTATTGTTATTCATTCCTATTGCTGCTCACAGTCTCCGTCTACAGTTACATCCACACTACTACTTATTCATTTTAGCGGCGTTTCAGAAGTCACATGACGTAGACTGGGCGTGCACATGCATACGGTTTTGGTTCCTCTGAGTTGCTGTTGTAAGCTAAGCTAAAGGGGCTAAGTGTGTTCTAACATGTGCTCTCCTCTCCCTGCAGTTGGCGTATTGCATTGTACAGTTCCTAGAGAAAGACCCAACATTAACAGAACCAGTAAGTATCCACTAAAACCAGCAGCACGAGACTCCAGTGTAACAAGTCTCAACACAGAACAACTCCAGACTGTTTCTTTGTCCGCTAAAGTTAAACAATCAATCAATCAATCAATCAATGGATATTTTGGCTGACAGAGGCTGCTGTACAACCAGCCAATCATATTGCTGCTACAGCGGATGCTTTGGGTGCAGGTGGATCAGAAACGGTGCAGACACAACAACTCACTGAAGTGTTAAATACAAGTGAAAACCAATAAAACAGTCTGCGTCTCTTCCTCCTCCTCAGGTCATCAGAGGCTTACTGAAGTTCTGGCCAAAAACCTGCAGTCAAAAAGAGGTGAGGCTTGTTGTTTTTGTGTGTGTGCGTGTGCATGTGTGTGTGTTTTAACCGTTTCCCTCCTGTGCTGCGGTGGCAGGTGATGTTTCTAGGAGAGCTGGAGGAGATCCTGGATGTCATCGAGCCCACGCAGTTTGTCAAGATCCAGGAGCCGCTCTTCAAACAGATCTCCAGATGTGTCTCCAGCCCACATTTCCAGGTCGGTAGAGGACTGATCCAGCATCAGTTTACCTGTGGTGTTGAAAACAAGCATGCACAGACTGTATTCAGGTTCTTTGTGGTGCCGTTTGGTTTAAAGGGAACACTGGTTTATGATATGTTGGAGGTTTACGGGTTTGTGTCCTCGGTCCCAGGTTGCAGAGCGAGCTCTGTACTACTGGAACAACGAGTACATCATGAGTCTGATCGAGGAGAACTCCAGCGTCATCCTGCCCATCATGTTCGCCAGCCTCTACAGGATCTCCAAAGAGCACTGGAACCCGTGAGTCTCTGCAGATATTCAGCAAGAAACATGCCGGTTTCTTGTTGTTTAAGATGCTTTTCGCCCTGATGTTTATGTTCCCACACTCAGTCATCGCTTTTTTGCTGACCGGCAGCTTCGTCAACAGCTGTCCTCGTGTTTTTTTTTTTTTTTCTTCTCATGTGTGTGTTTTGACCTGAAGTACTCAATAAGCTGTCTTTCCCACATGAGGACTCTTGTTTACTGAAAACAGCAGAGAGCAGCATCTCTTAGGCTGCAGTAAACAAAATAAAATCCAAGTGAAAATGAGTTAAAACGGCTCTTTAAACTTCTCAGTCGTGATTTAGAGTTCATAGACGCTATAAACTTTTTGTTTACGTCATCACTTGTGAGTTTTGACCCCCCCCCCCCCCCCCTCTCTGTCCTCCCTCCTCAGGGCCATCGTGGCGCTGGTGTACAACGTACTGAAGGCCTTCATGGAGATGAACAGTACCTTATTCGACGAACTCACAGCCACTTACAAGTCGGACCGCCAGCGGTGAGGAGCCGCTCACATCTTCATCACAGTTGTGAATAATGTGAATAACGACCGCGTTACTGTCATCACACGCCACAAATATCAGGATCAACGTGCGCTGAGGGTATAAGAGTAACCGCTTTAATGAGTGTAGGGAAGTTAATATCTTAGTCTATTTGTGAAGCTCTCACTGGTTTAATGGAGAGAACGTCACAGTAAGGTTGGGTGTTTATTGGCCAATCGGGATTCAAAGTGTTTATTAGTAGAGAAGCATTATTCCCACTTTATTCATTCTGATACCAAAACTCATATCACTGACACAATGCACCAGTTTAAAATCTATAAATCTGGAATATTGTCATAGAGCAGCCGGAGTTCAGAGAGATGTTACGATGAGAAATATCTCCACATCTGCAGGATGAACTTATGTACAGATGTTCATGGAGCGCAGAAGAAGAATCCTCCAGACTTTAGTGATCCTGACGCAAACTAACGTCAACGTAGCATCACGCCATGTCGAGCTTTGTTTACGCAGCTCCGAGCGTGTTCAAACGGCCTTCTCGACACGCTGCTCAGAGGGCGTACAGACAAAGTGAACTGTGAAGAATCAAAGAGACGAGTGTAACTCGTAGCTCATATTCATGGACGACTTCATTGCCTTCGTACGAACCCTGTAAGACGTAAACATGGACACAGTTTGAGTTTCTAACTAGTTTAAACGTTTTAAACAATTTATTTCCAAACATGTTTGCACATACAAGGAGACTTGACTTGGTGATTGGTGCATGATAATAAACACAGGAAAATAGTATAAAAGACAGAAGATTTAAAATGAAGTATGATAAATGATGCTTACTTAAGTCTGTTATTGAAGTGTTGAATGAATTAAAGTGTTCAGTTTAGTGTGAACCTAAAAGATAATTTAACATATAGCTGGTGCAACAAACTGCTGTTATAATAATAATAATAATAATAACTTTATTTATATCACACCTTTAAACGAGGTTTGAAGGCAGGCTGCAGCGTCTCAGTCACACAATAAAACCCGTCCTCCATGTTTTTCTTTAACTCCAGTGAGAAGAAGAAGGAGAAGGAGCGGGAGGATCTGTGGAAAAAGCTGGAGGACTTGGAGCTGAAGCGGGGCCTTAGGAGCGACGGCATCATCCCAACTTAACGAAGACAGCGCCGCGCTCCCTCTGCCCCTCCCCCGCCTCCTCCTCCATCCTTACCCCTCCCCCCACCTCCCCCTCCACATCAGCCATGTCTGCCCAGAGCTCCGAGAAATCCCCGATACAGACCACCGTCTTCGGATCGACCCGGAGCGCCCGCTGGTTTCTTAATTGTTTTGTTTTTTTCTTCTGTTTATTTTTTTTCCTCCTGTATTTGTGCGACTTACTTTACAGTAGATTCATCACGTCTGTTTTCATTATTTCAACAGCACTGTAAATAATTAATTCTTTCTTTTCTTTTGTTTTTTTTTTCCCTTTAAACTGATATTATTGCAAACGGATAAACAAAAAACAATAATAATAAAAAAAGGAAGAAAAAAATAGAAAATGAGAAAATGACTTGTGTGGGAGGGTGAATTAAACGAAACAAAAAAAAAACACTTCTGGACTCTAGGACATGAGACGAACTCTTGGAAAACAAAAAGAGAGAATATAGATTGATTTTAACTCTTCATCCCACTCTTCTTCTTCTTCAGTCCTGTGTGTCATTTTTATTTTCCTGGTTCTCCTCTCGTTGCCGCCATCTTTCTGTCCCCTCCCTCCTCTCTAATGGTCCATCTGTCATTTCTGCTCCCCCCCCCCCCCGTGTGGGATGTCCCGACTGATAATGGTTCCACCCCGTCTCCTTACCTTAAGATTCCTCTCTGGCCCCGCCCACCTGTCTACAGGTTCTCCTTCCGGTTTTAAACAGGAGAAGAAGAAAAAACGCTTTTAAAAACAGGAAGTTGCTCAGTACTCGCAGACCATCTCCTCTGGGTGTGCTTACATGCGTGTTCATGGGAGAGGTAATTGTATAAATGTTAAATATACTTATTTTTATTCAATCTGGTATTTACATTTTTTTTACCCACAAACTACCTAAATAGTTTGATCTTTGCATTAAAAAAAACTAAGTGAATTATTTAAAAATCAGTTTTATTGCTACAGATCCCAGCCTTCAGTTTAAAGTCGCACTGTATTTCCTGTGGCTGTTTCACAATAAAAGCCACTTTGTGTTTCACAATTTTAATGTGAACCAGCAGCAGAAGTTTAAGTTTTTTTTTCTGCATTTACAGTGAAAACTAAACTAAACCAGCGCTGATGCAGCTGTATCACATCAATCAATCAATGAGGGAAACTTCTGATAAAAATTACCAAAGTTGAAGAACATGCACTCATCGAATGGCGGACTCTGCCACAAACAACGAAAACTACTATAAAGGTATTTTCTGAATGTAAATAAACGGATGGATTTTTGCATAAAAATTGACTATAGATCACAATTTGGGGTTTTGAAATAGTTTTGTCTTTTACGTTAGCGCCACCTGGTGTTCGTATGAACAGTGAAAAATAACCTGAAAACAAGCTGAAGGGAGACAAATTATTTATGCCACTATGATTGTATGAACATTAACGCAAAGCAATGAATTAACTGATGACAAACAAAATAATTAAATTGAATTCACAGGTAATTTAATTTCAAGTTTTTATCACAAATCTTGATTTTTTTAATCGAGCGTCTCATCCTGTTTGGCTGTTTTCGTGGATGAGCTCACATCCTGTCCTTTTAAAATCCTGTCATTCATTTTAACTTCCTGTTCATGCAGGCTTCATATAAACCAGAATATCAAACGTGTGAATCCTCATGTAAACGCACTCGATTCATTCCCTCAAAAAAAAGAAAAAGAAAAAAAGATGGACTACTTCTCACCCAGTCGGTTATTTTTCTCCCCATCTTCTTCCTCTTTGAACCTCTTCTGACCCCTCCCCTCCTCCTCACCTGTCACACCAGGTGTCCCAGGTATCAGTCTGGTACTGGTATCCTCCGGCCATAACGGGGACTTTCAAAATAAAACGCACACACACAAAATATAAATGTTTTCAGAGGAGCGCCAAAAATAAAATCTTCCTCCTGTTGTGAAAAGATGAGCGCTCCTGCCTCACCTCACTCTTCCTCCTCCGGGCGCTGCGTTGACTTCACAGTATTACAACAACAACAACAAAAGAACCCTGTACATTGTTATTGAATGCAGTACACTGATAATCTTGTATCTTGTAGTAATTTAGCCTATGTTTGAGGAGTATCCAGTATATAAAGAGGTATTATGGAACAACACTTCCTGGTATTTATGATAGTTTCCCGCCTTTCTCCCTTTCTGTCTCTCACTCCTCCCTCTTCTCTTGCTTTTTATCTCATTTTTTTGGGATATTTTGATGAAGTTTCTTTTCACCATTGGGTATATTTTTTTTTAGTTGGGGAGGGTGAGGGCAGGTAGGCAGGGAGTCAGAGGGAGGGGGGTAGAGAGGGGGGGCACAGAGCAGACCACTTTGTCCCGTTGGGGGTGTGAAGGTAAATAAAAACAAAACCTCCCCCCCTCCTCCCTCGCAGAATTAATGTGTGCTTTAGAACAGCCCGGATATAATATGATTTAAAAACTGAAATAAAAGATAAAAAAGGGTTGGAGAAATACAAATGTTTAATTATTTAAAAAAAATAAAGAGATATTAAATTAAACCTGTTTTGTGATAAAGCCCAGACGCTGGATTGCTTTATTTACTGGGTCCACAGGGTGTGTGTGTGTGTGTGTGCGTGCGCGTATAGATAGGTAGAGACATATTTAGCTAAAGGATTACTTAATTTGATTTTCTTACATAGAGCAACAAATATTTAAATGTAGCTTTTATTTTTCTAAATGTCAGAGAAATGTAATTAATAATCTGGTGTTATTTGATATTATTCGTATCGTCAACAAATCCCATGAAAAGACCAACAAACAATGTGTCTCCAACACCTCCTGTCTCAGCCCCGAGCTCACTGGTTCCTCTTGAAGACCTAAATCTTTAATAACAATAAACTTTATTTAGCTTTAACGGAAAATATTTTATGGAATGGACCTAAACAAAATGGTAGATGAAAAAGAATGATTTCAAAACCTGAAAACCTAATGAGGCGTTCAGTCAGATCACGTGACCGATCATGTGACACTCAGAATGCAGACAGGTGGATTTCATTTAACTAATTATGAGACTTCTGAAGGTAATTAGTAGCATCAGGCATCCTCTCTTTTATTTATTTTTATTTGAATTTATTTTTGAATGTGCTGCACTTTGAGCTACATAGTCTGTATGAAATGTGCTTCACAAATAAAGATGATTTATTATATTATTATTATTAATTACACAAACACACACCAGTTAGTTTTGTACTTTTTTAATTTCACTTCCCACATTTTGACTATTTTGTTTCGGTCCATCGTGTAAAATACAAATCTGGGTTTTAATGCAACAAGATTAACAGCTAAATTAATAAATGAATTGATGAACCTCGTCATCCTAAAAGTGACCGCGTGACTTCTCTGAAACTTTGACTGAATCAGTTTTAAGCTCTTTTGAAGAATAATTGAATAGTTTTGTTTTTTTACTTGAAATGTGAATCCAGTCGAAGCTGAATTCTTCATCCTCGTTTGTTCTTCATCAGATGAAATCTCTCATAAAATGACAAAATTACTGTTTTGGCTCGACTGGATTTACAGAAATATTCAGTTTAATCTAATAAGAAACGATATTTCACACAATGACTCAGACTGAATAAATAAATAGATTCCAGAATTAGGAAATGACTAAAAATGGACTATAATGTGACTTTTCTTCAACTTTTTATGATGGTTGGCAAAACCAACACCCACTGATCTGGATTGGGATTAAGGATTTAACTTCTCTTTAATAAATCAACAAAATAAAGAAAACAAGATAATTAGAACTAACTAATGAAACAAAAATATGTTAAATTAATTATCTATCAAATTATATTTGTCAGTCTTCTTGATCCTAAAAACTCTAGAAGGAGAACACCAGAATGTTTTTTGTGACCTCACAGATGTTCTCCTGACCAATCAGAGAGCAGGAGGAGGAGGAGGAGGAGGAGGAGGTGGGCAGGTAGCACACAGGTGTGCTGAGGAGCTCTGCAGGGCCATGAGAGGGTTTAAAGAGGTTTAACCCGTGGCGGCTGGTGGAACATGTTCTCTGTAGGGCTGTGCCACATCTAATCAATTTCAGCAAACATCCCAGTATGATTTAATGCAAAACAAATAAGGTATCAAACACGCATTACTATTCGCAGTCAAATATTTAACCTTTAATCCAACATGAAAAAAAGCAGTAAATAACACCTTGACAAACGTCAGGACATCTTATTTTAGTCTCAGTATAATAT